ACTAACATCAAGAATATATAAAGAGGGCCAGGGATTTAACTCAGTGTTTCTACTGCCTGTCTTACAAGTGCAAGGACCAGAGTTTGATCCCCGCTACCACAAAAAAAAGAGTATATAAAGAATTCAAAAAGTAAGATTCCCCCAAATTAAAATATCCAATCAAAAAATGGGCATGCAAAATGAATACACACTTCACAGAAGAAGTACAAATAGCCAATAAATACTTCAAACATGCTTATTGCTGACTGACAGAGAAATGAAAGTTAAAAGTACACTGAGATACTATCTCACACCAAAATGAATAGCTATCATCAAAAATCTAGTAATAATAAGTGCTGGCAAGGATGTGGGGGGAAAAGAATCCTTCTATATTTTTGGTGGGAATGTAAACTAGTGCAACCAGTGTGGAAACCAGTGTGGAGATTCCTCAAAAAACTAAAACTAGAAATTTCATTGATCCAGCTACCCCTCTTCTAATACAGGGATACATACATGTCCATGTTTATAGCCGCACTATTTATAACAGCTAGATCTTGGAAACGGTACATCTCCATCGACAGATGAAGGGCTAAGGAAAATGTGGTATTTGTACTCAGTGGCATTTGTACAGGCATTTGTAGGTAAATGGATGCAATTAAAGAACATAATATTAAGTGAAGAAAGTCAGATATACAACTTCAACTATCACATGGTTTTTCTTATATGAGAAACACAAAATATATGTATAAACATACAAATAAAGAGCAAAATAGAAGCGAGATAAATAGGAAGCAGGGAGAAGTTCAAATACTTCCCCAAATGACATATTCTGTTGTTTCAGACATATTTTAATATATATGTTCATTTGTTTCATTTATACTGCTAGTTTACTTTAGAGAGGAAAAAAGAAAGTTTTGTGTTGTTATCTGTTTGTTTCTTTTTGTAAGAATCGTTTTGGTTTGTATCTTCTATTCTGAATATCTACTTTGAAGATAGTAATACACCGTGTATGAACTGTTGTTATTCTCTTATTGTGTTATGACATTCTAACTTTGCTACTAACCTTTTATATGACCTTGTCTCATTTCCCATCTATATTTTAGGGACAAGGTTAGCATATCAATATCTGCTCTCTAGAGTAATATGAAGAGCCACTGGAATCATGCTCCAAAGTCCTTCGCATACCATAAGGCATTGTGTAAATTCAAGTTTTTACAATAAACTTCCCCTCTAAAAATCATGTTGATATCAATTCTGTATTTTTCCCTCCACACATGCTCCCCCATTTTTTAAATTTATTTACTTATTTATTTATTTTTGTTACCAGGGATTGAACTCGGGTCCTTGTGCTTGCAAGGCAGGACTCTCCCATTTTAAATGAGTATAAAATTCAATAGCTCCATTTTGTGAAATATCTTATTGTGGAAAAGTGGCATAAAGGCATTTTTAACTACCAAAACTTTATTTGAAGGAGCCATATCTCCCTCAACAAACATTCAAAAGTTTGAAATATATTCCAAGATTGATATCCAACTTTTCCCCCTTGGCTCATTTCAGGACAGTGCCTGGTTAAATTCACTACTCACACTAACAGCCACACAAAAAATAACACAACGGCTCCCATCCCTTTCTTACCTCCCTAGCAAACAATGTTTAGAAGCATTTTGACACTAGGATTTCATCCAATCCTCCTAACCTGTTCTGAAGTAGGGATGAAATGATACTGTATGATACATGTTGGGCCTGAACCACACCACCAGTCAAGAGCAGAGCCAGACACGGAGCTGAAGCCATCTTATTGCAAGTTGGGTGTCTATCCCAATCCCATTCCACCTGGACTGGCAGAGGGTAGAGAGGACAGAAGATATCACACACAATTAGCCCAGACTATTATCAGATTTATCATTTTCTCTCCAAACACCTGTTCACGTGCCCAGGTAGTGCCAAAGTTCCATCCAGGTTAGAATTCAGGACATGCCCTGCAGTATATGTGTGAATTTATATATTTGTTTACTTTTTGTTAAATAAATGGACTTGGGTTCAAAATGAAAGTTATGCTAAAATCCATAGTCAGAAGTCTCAGGCTGGAATGTAGCTCAATGGCACAGCACCTGCTTGGCAAGCACAAGGTCCTGAGTTTGATCCCCCATACTAAAAATTGAAGTCTCATAACTTATCCCCAACAAAACCTACATGTTCATTTTATCTGAATGTATCCAACAACATCCCATGCCCCCTCCAGAGGAAAATATACACTCTGGAATCATGTCAGGTCATTAAGGAACTACAAGATAAAATTTCTTACATTAGACCTAATTTCCTTCTCATCAAAAGCTTGAATTCAGGCTTTAGCATACAAAAAAGCGAAACTATGAATAAATACAGCACTGATAAAACTGAAAGTCATAAAGGCAGAAAATGAAATTCAAAGCACAACTTTTTGTATGTATCAGATATTCCTTCAGGAAATTCATTATTTGAAGCCTCATTTCAATCTTTTGAAATTGCCAGTCAGTTCATTTAATGACAGGCCACAAATGTGCATTCAAGTACAAATTGGTAATGTGAATAGGAGATTTGGATCTGGGTTAACAATGGCTTTGACTCTGGATTGTAAACATCGAAAGGGACCTGTGGGAACACATTTCACTGGGGAGAGAAAGCACTTTGGCTTATGAAGTAGGTAGACTCAGCCATCACTGTCGATCCGATAGTAGCAAGTCAAATGCATGCAGCCTTGTTATTTCTCTAATGAATCACATTCCACCTCTTGACCTACTGTATCTGAGCCCCAGGGATGACTGTCGCTGATCTCAGGGACTGATCATCTGCCCTGGGCATTCTGTCACACACACCACAACTCAAAACGATGATTTGAAATATAAATTATTCCTTTACCTATACCTTGGCTAATGCAGATAATTGAGCAGGAAGAGTGTTCTCTTGGGATTCACAGATTTGGGAGTGAATACAGGTATGGAATTATTGATGGATGAAAAGGCAGGAAAATTCTTTCAAAGAGTCCTGCATTTTTTCTGGCTGCCACTCAATTGTCTGACTAGCAAGACCAGAATACTAAACCGTTGCTTTCTCTAAGAAATGGATCTAATATCTGTTCTATTTATCTCACAGGATGGTTCTTAAAAGTTCTTTAAATAGTCTAGATAAAAATAAACAAATAAAAATATTATAATTGCTGTTAAAATATTTGAAGAAATTCATTTATTTTTCAAATATAGAGTTGGACATGATCTTTACAGTACAAAGAAAAACTACACTTGTTATCCAACAAATGAAAATAATCTAATTACAGAAAACCTAATTATAATTATCTTCCAAATTCACTACATTTATAATTTACATCGCAATGAGTTTGCTGGGTAGGGCACTGATTAAAATCACTGCTATATAAAATGGTTCATTCAGTATTTCTTTGGGAATGCAAATTAAGCTTAGCAAACAGTAAGCACACTTTGAAAATGAAATAATGTTGACATCCTAGGAGATGATTAAGAAAATTACAAAACTGCAACCCAAAAATGTTCTGATATGATCATATTGATTTCCCCAAAGGGAATGATTAAAAATAAAATTTGAATTATAAGTCAATTATAAACTTTTGAAGTCAGGTATCATTTTAGAAGGAATGTAACATTCAATAAAAAGGCAACACCACAAGTAAAGTGAGCTTTCAGTTTTGGAGAAACACAAGTTCTAGCTGTTAGCCAACTTCTGGCACTCAACTTAGGCAAGTCCTGCCTTGAATACTAATCAAATGGAAATAACCTTAAGTGAACACTGTAATGTAAATCCTTTCTTTAAAATTTGTAACAAGGAAACACATTCTTCTAACAAACTTCTGGAAGGTTAGAACTGATCTTAAAAAGTATTCCAAGCCCAGCCCTCACTTTACAGGATGAATGGCTATGACATCTAGCAGTGTTGTTTATCAGAATGATGAAAGAAAGACCTATCCTATTGGCTATTTCTCTGGACAATCATCAAGTCTTGTTCACTGGCAGAAAGGAATACCACACAGAGAATAAGAACACCTTCAACAAGTAAAGCCATTACATTTGCCTGTTTCTTTTAAGAAACAAAACATTAAGAGTTATTTCCATACTGGAAATTCTGGTATTTTTATAAATTCTAGTACTTTCTGTAAATTTTGTATCTAGTTTTTAATAGTAACTTGGTTGGCTCTTATTAGGATAAGATTGAATGTGTGTATAATTGTGCAGCACAACAAAGGTTAACACATTTGATTTCTTGCTCACATTTATTGGGACCAGAGAAACTAAAACAGTTATTTTCCTCCCAAAGACCTGGACAAATATAATACAGTAGCAATTTCTGAAATACATAACAAAACATCTTGGGTCATGAGTCAACATAAGATGTAAAACCTTAGAGATATTAATTCTGACAGCTTTATAAAATGTCACTCATCCAAGGCATTGCTGAAATAGACTTTAAAACTGCACATACATACATTCTATACACATAAAGGCAGCTATTCATAAAGAGAAAGAAAAGTCCTTTAGAAGCACTGTGTACAAAAAGCCAAAGAAATACATACATAGATCCTGAATGTTTTTAAGAGAAAATTTAGGTTTCAAGAAACAGTAATTTACCTTCAAATAAACATGTAGATGTTTTCAAACCTGGATAGATAACATTTTTGTGATGCAGATGACAAGAATTCACGCTGTGGATTATTTGTTTTCAAAGGTCACTTTCAAAGTACAGATTTCAAGTCCAAAGCAAATACCCATGGCATGAACAAGTAAGATGCCTAAGATTCTAACATCTGCTTCCTTATGGCTTTCCTCCTCACTTCCCTATCTAATAGCAAGAGAAAAGTCCCTAGAAAAGGCAACAGCTGGATTTGTACCATTATTCCTGACCACGTCTGGATGCTGGGTCTTCACACCAGATTTCAGCTTAGCCAATTTAAACATTCTATTTCAAATACTCTCTGCTACTCCAAACACAAAAAGATTTTGTTGTAACAGCTAGTCTTGTGTAGACTCGTGCTTGTTCTGGAACAGAAAGAAGATCTCTAGGAAAGGATAAAGCTAAGAAAGGAAGAAAACAAGGCTAAACTCTGTCACTGGCCAATCATCCAAAAATGGAAATATCAGCCTCCAACATTAACGTTGTCAGCTTTCTCCTTTGTGAAGAAGTCTAGTGTGGCTTGCATCATCTCCTTTCGTGCACCAGAGCTATGTTTGGATTCAGCCTATCAACCTCTTCTTGCTAGTCCTGATAACTCACTCACATTTCATTATTTAAGGTAGAAGTCACCATTTTTAGGCACTTTACATCATTAAGAAAATTAAGTCCAGTTACTTAAATTCTTTGACAAACATTCCTTACTCCCTAATCCTGGCCCCATCCCAAAGGTAGCTAATTCTGTTACAAATTCTCTGTGAGAAGACAATGTCTTTTAGTTTCGCCATGGAAATAGCATAGATTGTTTTTTTACACTTTTGCTCCAAATTCATGAGCTCTTCATCTGAGATCAGAGCATTTCAGTTACCTGAAATCTGCCCCTGTTTAAAGAGCCTTTGTGGAGCCACGTTCAGAGTTTACTAATGGAAGAGTGCACTACCATCTCTAACATTCTTAGTACAAAAATTCAATTTCAGCTGAGTTCCTGTGATCCCCTGAGCAATCATAAATGCCCTTTATGATGAGGAAGTAGGCTATGTATAAAACAAAGCAAATTAGCTATGCAAATATATGTACATTTATGTTTATAGTAACATGAAATACAGTGATGGAAGAGGTGTTTTTTTTCCTGAAGTATTTAGAGAGCCGAAGGAAAACAAAGTCATTGTTGAGAAATTTCTAATGATTAAAAAATGCTTTTGAATGGTTGCCATTCAAAAGTTTTCCCACAATTCTAAACTATGTTCTATACAAATGCTCAATAAAAAAGTACGTGACCAACAAATGCACTATACATGTATCAGATAACAATATATGTGTGTGAATTAAAATTCCTTAAATATATACATCCCCACTTAGGATACATTCCATTACATAGGCAAATCTTCACTCTTTAATAGGTCCAGATAGCAGCAATTTAATAATCTAGTTACCCAGTTACCTCAGAAGATATGCTAGGTCCTGAATATTTCCGGACATGGTATCCCTGGCTTCTAGGAGTGGTCTCTGTTAACATTTGTGTAGTTCTCATGAAGCACCTGGCTGCAATGCTAATGGCGACTATATAATCCTGTCATTGGAGAGACATGTGTTGTCCTCTCCAAACCCATTTATGTAAATCTGACGTACAGTACAAAGGGAAACATAAGTCACAATGGGATTGATAATGATCCAAACTATTTGAAATATATAAAATATTTCCATTTTATTTGTTATATATCTTTTTATTGTCTTATCAGTGCCTTGTATACACAGAAAGTATTAAGATTGTCCTACTAGATGCGGGAAAAATGATGCTAAGTTTTATTAAGAAAGCTGCTTTGAAATATGGAAATATCTTGATTATTAATTAGTGTTTTCCGGAGAGAGTGAAATATCATACTAAGTAGCATTTTAAAAGAGTAGTTTCTGAGTCTATGCCCTTGGGGAAATTATGAGCTTGCAACCAAAATTCACATATATACTGTGCAAAAGTATTTAGGTTGACTGATGATAAACCATTTTAGTCACTGAAAGAAAGAATGACTTTTAAGTAAAAATTTATTTTGTGTCTACCATTGAGTATATCCACACAGGCCCAATGGATAGAAATTCTAGGTAGGCTGCAAGGCATAGGGATTCTAGTTGTGCATATAGACTTTAATGTTTACCCTTGATCTATACTTTTAGATCCAATTCCAAATCTGCCGGTTGTATGAACACAGAGCTAAAGAAAGGTCCCTGTGATTTATGATGGTTTTGAACATCTTCTACTCTAACCTTATTTCACATACAATAATTTTGTAGACCATAACTACTGGCTGTATGAGAAGAACTGGTCACCTTAAAAAAAGTAACATTTGCCAAAGGACAGACACTAAATTAGACCATGTTGATTTACACGCTGCAACCCTTTTACTGGGAAGGGACAACTCCCTCTGCACAGCAGTTTCTCCCGCTTGAAGCTGAGATCACACACGGAGAAACCTATTGTGTTTCTGCCAAGTCACTGTGGGAAAGTTGGGCACAACACACCCAGTAATTGGCAGAGTCACAACCAACGTATCGACTCCTAAGATAAGCAGCCTGCTTTAGAGTATAACTCTTCGGAGAATTTCTTATTATGCAGTCTTATCCTTCCCTCCCACAGTGGGCTCCCCCTACATGTTTCTCACAGTAGCAAATCAACACAGAACACACCTTCTTCTCAGCATGTATGTTGTCAACCATAAAAGCACATTTATTATACTGAATGTTCACTTAGGCTCCTTTAATTTGGCTGGAAGACTAACAGTGCAGTGAGATCCTTTGAATGATAAAATGATGATGTACTAACTCCTCCTAAGCAACCCCAAAGCTCCCGACAAGCTCCTAGACAGTCTGGACTCCAGGTCCGGTTCTTACTACCTGGCAACACCTGCACCCAGGATTTGCCCTTTCCCAATCCGGCATGGACAAAGGCTTGCAGGCAACTTCAAGATCTGGACACAGAGGCACTTCCAGAATTTGGCAAGGAAAAGGAGGCAGCGTGTCACTAAGTGGGGCTTTGTCGTGTGCTGTATCACAGAGTCCAGACATCTGTGGCACGGGAATAGAAACAGTACTTTACGTTGTGGATGGGTCATGCTTCTTCTTCTTGCCCCGACAGGACTTGCAGACACAACAGATGATACACGGGGAGGCCAGGAGTAGCAAGGGTGAAGTCACCAAGGCAATGATACCCAGTCCCACAAGGATACCCACCACCTGGAATTTAAAAGAAAAACATACTTCAGCAGTTATACCTCCCTGCAGGTATACTTGTTCCAGTGTACCCTACATGGAAACGCTAACCCCAAGTGACAGTAGTTGGTGATAGAGCCTTTGGGAATTAACTAGGCCATGAAAATGGGACCTTCCAGATAAGGTTAGTGCCCTTGACTAAAGGACAGGCAATAGGAAAAAGGGGAAAAAAAGTCTTAGTGTAATCCAGAATGTACAATGTATTTAAAAGCATACCTTGATTTAGCATAATTATCTTATGTGTGTTTTAATATGTTTTGGCTGGGCGATTTATATTTATGATAATTAACTTGATAAGAAGTTATGAAATAAAGGAATCTGATGCTGGCAAAAAACAAAATGATTTAAATGGTGGAAGGGGAAAAATACAGAACTGAGAGCCAGGGATTTAGCTCAGTGGTTCCACCACCTTCCCTGTAAGCACAAGGTCCTGAGTTTGATCCCCACTCCAAAAAAACAAAACAAAAGAACTGAGAAGTGTGAAATACCTGTACATTTCCCCACAATGCATGTAAATCATTTTGGACTGCAAACATGTACTAATAGAAATATTTTTTTAATTTTAAAAACATCAGTGCCCTTATGAAAAGATGTTAGAGAGTTTCCTTCCCTTCTTTTGGCCTTCTTCTCTTTAGGACACAGCAAGAAAATGGCCATCTGTGAACCAGAAGAGAGCCCTCACCAGACAGTGAGCACACCACCACCAGACCTTTCAGGCTCCAGAGCTGAGAGAAATAAATCTGTATAGTTTAAGCCAGCCAACCTGTGACCATTTGTGATAGCAGTCCAAATGACTAAGACGTGGTCTTGGGCACATAAGACAGCTACCTTTACAGAGTATTTCAGCCAGTATTGTGCCGTGATGTGAACTGGGCACAAACAAAAAGATAAAAAGGACTAAACCAAAAATGAGAACAAAGCAGATGCTAATCCAAGCTTGGCAGCACCTCAGTAGAACTGCACTATTGGTGTTGGCTCATTCTCTACCTGGGTTTCCGTGATGGTCTCACAGGGATATTAATAATGAATACTAGGATATTAGCATTGATTTCCTCAAAAGGAACATAGTCTTTGATAGCTAAATAAACCAAGAATCCCTCTGAACCATATAAACACACAATGACATATACAGAGGGATCTAAGCCCCAGCATGGGCTCACAGTATTTTAGAGCTCTGCCTTTGATAGGTAATATACCTACTAGGGGTTTTAAAAAGTTCTTCCAGGGCCAGGGATTTAGCTCAGTGGTGCTGCCCCTGCCTCATAAGCCCAAAGTTCTGAGTTCAATACCCAGTACCACACACACAAAAAAAGTTCTTCCATATTTTTCAAGAGGAAAGGACATCTGCATCCATTCTGCAGGTCACTGTCAACTGCTTGGCTGTCTGGTGCTCCTGACCCTCCACTTGTCCTCAAGGAGACTGTGCTCATGCACTGTCTTTCTCCTAGTCCCACCCCAGAACTCCCAGAGCCTTCCAGGCTAGCACAGGTAGACAGGGAAAGAAGGTGGGGAAGATGAAGAGATCGACCCTTTAAACATCTCATCACAATTCTGGTTTATCCTGTGTCCCCCTTAAGGTCACCTGTGTTCGGTTCCACATAACTGATGCTCTCGAGTGGCCAAGTTTATTTCTGCATGGCCCTTTGTCATAATGTCTGAGGAAAATGTCATTCTGAAAAACAAAGGGAGGTCTCAGTAAACGCGCAGCTTCGAATTGAAAGATGAATATAAATCACATCAATCACCTAGTGATATTAATAACTCCCTCTGGGATACCAAGCCAGCAATCTTTGGCATATTTTGGAAATTGTGTGAATCACCAAGTGAAAACAGATCACAGTAGGATTTCTGATTGATTGTACAAAAAACATAACGCCTGATGAATTATTTTAGAGAGGTACTTACAAGCTCTTGCAGAGGCACAAAATGGAACGAGAGGACCATGAGTGGGATATCTGAAAGGCTGCTGCTGCAAAGTAGGTGAGAGAAAAACCAGAGAAAGGACTAAGGGCAAGACGGAGAAGTCCTGAGATATTAAGAGGGTAACTACAGTAATGGGTGGAGAAACAGGGAGACAAAATCAGACAAAAAGGGAAAGCTGCTGAGTAGAAAGAAGGCAGTAAGTCTGTCACGAGGACAATATTGAGATGGACTGGTCAGGGGGTGTGATAACCATGGCTTGGACATGTTAAACTTCACAAACAGTGGACATTCAGGCAAGTACTATTCACAGGGAAGTTCATTATATGGATCTGGATTTTGGCAAAAAGGTTTGGGCATCAGTGTACATGGGTAGAAGAAATCATACAAGGGCATGAATATCTGGGAAGGGACTGAGAATCCCAGATGCTGCTGAACACACTTAAGAATGGGTCAAGAAAGAACCTGAAACATGGCCAGAAAGGTTGATAGAAAACCAGCAGAGATGGTCACTGGAAAGTAGGCAGCCAGGATGTCACACGAAGTGGAAAATCTGAAACAAATAAGGACTGCAGTCGCCATTGGATTTTAACAATAAGAAGTTACTCAAAACTTTGGAAAGAATACAGTCAGGGTATGAGTACATGGCAATCTGAATGCATTGAGATAAGTAGGAGTAAAAGTAAATTCACCAGCAAGAGGTATTCAGGCTTTTGTGAAGCTAAAGGAGAGAGAGATGCAAGGGGAGAGAAAAGAAAAGGCTCACTTAATTTCGATGGCAAACAACAAAAAGCCTGGACATCGTGAGGAATGGCAAATGGAAGCTGAAGTTATTGGACTTCAGGGATAATGGAGGAAGACAAAACTCTAAGGAATCGTATTTCTAAGCAGACTATTAGGATGACCTTAGCCTCTGAAAGTGTAAGGCTGAAGGCCAATGCACGAACAAACTCAATGCCCCAGCAACCCTCACCATCTGTTTGGTGTCTGCCTCAGACTGGGGTTTTAGAGAATCACCCCACGGCCTCATGCTTTCAAGTTAACCATAAACAGAAACCAGCAGCATGACGTGACATCTCCACACTTGCCTGGAGAAAAGCATCATTAATGACAAGCCAAAGCTTTTGGCTAAAACAGAGAAAATGAGACCCCCCAAAAAACAAAACAGTAACCAGAAAAAGAAGCATCAACATTTGAAATCTTTATATTCAGCCATTTAACATCTGTATCATTTCATCTCAAGTACCAGCAGGGGACAAGTGGCAGAACAGAGTGTTCTCTGAGACACCACCCCCAAACATACTTCCACCAAAGGGTGGAACTCTGCTGCACATATTTAGCTCTCTACACTCTTGCTTCCTAAAGAGAACCTCATGGGCCCAGCTGCCTTGAGGATACAAGCCCAGTTAATAATCTGGCTAAACCAGAAGGAAAACAAAATGATTTGTTTTTCATTTATAAAGCACATGGGATGTACAGTCAATGGAATCCTCATCCACAATAATATCACTGATTTAAAATTATGATTGGCCTTAAATAGCACACATAATTTAAGAGGCTATGGTAAATTAAAAAAAAAAGAACTTTAAAGTAAAAATATCATTTCTTTCAACCTGAGCTTTTTTTTGGTATGGGGGATTGAGCTCAGGTCCTTGGGCTTACAAGGCAGGCGGCGGCACCACTGAGCTAAATCCCCAACCCCACAACCTGTACTTTGGAGCTTCTGGAATCCAAAATGTCCGTTTTTATCTCTTCAATTTATAGCCTTTCTTAAAACTTTGAGACCAAGATGACTGAGATTTTATTCATAGATGTCTGCCTAAACAACTTAACTAATTTTCAGTTAATAGAGTCAAGCCCGCAGTGGCTAGCCCACGTCAGTGAGCCCTTACTCACTAAGTATGTTAGATGCTAGACCACTAAACACACTGCTTGCTGAATTAAAGCAGAACAAGCAACAAAAACAAAGAGCCAGCCATGATTTAGGGCTGACACTGATGTGGACATATAAGACCAAATCGCCAAGACAGAGAATATCCATAACCAGCTGGCACTATCCTAAACTTAGAAAAACTAGAATTGAAATAAGGCTTCTCCCCAATCCTTCCCACCACCTTTTAACCCTGAGGTTAATGCCTGGCCTCGGCATAGGGCTGGATGAAACTACCTGAATTTGTGAAGATATGCCACATGAATAGAAGGGAAAAGCAATAACTGGGCAAGTTGTTTGATTTACGAAAGGGAAACTCATTGCCAAAACAGTAGCAATACTGCTGTCACGCCAATGAATGAGTCAGATAAGACACTATTGAGTTTTTTCTTTAAATTCAAAAAGAGGTAAGCAACATCACTGTAGTAAACACAATGACTTTATCCCCCAAAGATATTAACGGCCTAAGAACCTGTGAATACAGCACCTCAAATGGCAAAGGAGACTTAGCAAAGGCAATTAAATTAAGGGCCTTGACATGAGGGAGATTATCCCTATATATTATAGGAGATATATATATATGTCCTATACATTATCCAAATGGACCTGATCTAATTACACATGTCTGAAGGCAGAGAACTTTTCCAAAATGTGATTGAAGGAATGGCACCTAAGGAAGAAGGGTTAGAGATGTGATGCTGCTGACCTTGAAGATGGAGAAAGGGGGCCACCAATGCAGGTGACATCTAGAAGGTGAGAAGAACAAGGAAATGGATTCTACTCTAGAGTACAGAAAGGGAAGCAGCCCTGTTGACATCATGATTTTAACCCAGTGAGACCTATGACAGACTCCTAATGTATAGGAACATAAGATAATAAACTTGTGTTGAGCCATGAAGTTTGAGATGCTTTGCTACAGCAGCAATACAAAATTAATACACAGGTAGGTCTTTACATAACAAAGCAAGAAAATTCCCTCAAAGCACGAAATGCCCCTAAAACAGAAGCTTGTATTTCAAACTAAAGTGACACACCTCTGGCAACCAAAAAGAGGATTCATAGCTATCTGAAGTACCAGGCTCAGGAGGTCCCATTAAGAAAAATACATTACTTCTGCAAGACAAAAATAGGCTCAGTATTTGAAAAAGCAGAACTATAAGACTCTGGCTCTGGTGCAGAGAGGTATAGGAAAGAGCATGTGATACGCGTCTCCCGGGGCACTCACATCCAGGTTCTGCAGGCAGTACCAGCAAAATGTGTGTTTGCAGTTCTTGCACATCATCTGGGCGCAGCCTTCGTTGCGTTCAATATAAACCCGGCAAACTGGACACTGCTTAATAGGGGCTTCTGCACCTGTCCCAAAGAGGGCCCTAGAAACAAAACGAATGGGACATTGTATTCAACCCATCGTCATCAGCCAAATTCCCAGTGCTCTAGAAAGTTCGGTAATGAATGCTGTGATCTGTACCTAATTCACTTCTCCAAGAGAAGGGTGGAAGTAAAAACAGTAGAGACACAGACTGTTAGTAGTTCGGAAAACTCAAAACAAGAAAGAACCTTTATTTATTTTTATTTATTTTGGCTTTCAGTGTATTATACAATTATACTTTCCACAGATGATTTAACTCATTGCTTTGCCAAATTAATATTTCACTCCCTGAGCATATGTTGCCTGAATAAGAAATACAAAGAGTCAGGTATGCCGCAGAGAGACTGGTTCAGGATGCAAACGGGTATGCTCCTACCATGTCGCTATTAAATAATTGGCAGAATGGGACTCAATGATCACTACTTTAAGATAGATGCCATTCCTGAAAAGACCTGCTTCTAACAGATGAATGGGCCAGGAGAAGCTCACGGTGAAAGGTCACAGAAATAAGGAGCATTGAAAACTGGGGTGGGCAGGAGCCACAGCTCTGGGCTACACTTTCGTTATTGTTCATCAGAACTACCACCAGCACACAGATACATCTAACTCTCCAAGAGCTTTCAAAGGTAAGGCCAGGTTTCCTCCTGGGGATGATTTGACACAGTGAGGGGATGGGTTCTACTTTAGTCCCCCTTTTTGATAAGGAAACAGACTCACTCGCAGAGCCTAACATCTTGTATGAGGACACGCAGACATCAAGAGAGAAGGTCAGAACTCAAGTCTTCCTCTTCTCTTGAGTTCTTTGCACTGTCCTGTGATACCCAGGGCACCTACTGCTGCACAGTCAGAATGTGCAATGCACCTGGCCATCTGGTTCTGAAGGCACATGTACTAAATCTTTGTTTGCCTATTTGTTTTGTTTGAGACTTAAGCCCAACACAGCCAGGTCGCACATCTATTCCTGACAACTGGCTCTACACACACCCAGGGCACTGGGTGATTAAGCCAACTAGTCTGTAACACTGGTATTTTGTTCTTGAGGTGCAGAACAGCCATAGCCCCAAGCAAATCAAGGGATCAAACACAAAGGTTCCTTACTCTGGCCTGGCCGCCACCATAAAAACCCTCTGTACAAAAAGGGAGAGATTTAATTGCTTCTCATCATAGCAAAATCTCAACATTGGCATCATCTTTTCAGAACATAAGGTATTAAGAATATCTCTTCCAAAAGGGTAGGGGAAAGGAAAAAAGGGAAAAGAAAAAGTATGGGAAAAGGAAAAAATGGAAACAAAGTCTTTGTAAATAGGGGAGGGGGAGGGGGTGAAGGGAGGGAAGGGATACAGGGAAAAAATGAGAAGATACAAGATCCCAATGATGAATGTAACTGTACTGTATAACTAAAAAGTGCCAATAAAATCAATGGAAAAAAAAAGAATCTCTCTTCCTATATTCCCTAAGGATATACGACCTTTTTTGTATTGCTGTGTTCTCTCTGCTATGACTGACATACCCCATCAGGTGGTAACTTAATTAAGTGAAAAACATCATTTTGTTTATCTCATTTTGCAAGTGGGAAGAGTGAGATCATTGATAGGAGGCAGACTTGGTAGCTAAGCAAATAGCTACGGACAAAGCCATGACTTCCTACAGAGAATACAGGTTGTCTCTACCTAAAGAGATAGCAAAACTCATACAAACCCTAATTTCAGCAATATCTGAAAGATTCTGCTGAGACAAATAAACAAATTCCCTTTTAGAATTGCTTTCTGTTGTTATTTTTTATTAGCAACATATCGTTTCTGGAATACTTCTCTGGGAAATTCTGCAGGAAAATAACGTCTAAACATCACCATGAGATAACACTTCCAAAGCAACATATGTTGAGTTTCTAAGAACACTAGTGAGTAATTTCAAAGACATTTTCCTTTCTTACCCATGTTCTGTGGGCAGGACAATAGGCTGATTGTCTCTACAGGAGACCTCTGCATGCCAAGCATCCTTACAACATGAGCAGAATTTCAGATGGCAAGAAGGGCATTCTACCAACACAGGCTGGCCTGGGTCACTCGAAGCAACAGGACACACTGTCTGACAGTCTGCAACAGGGCACCATGTTCGGTGGGGGTCCAGGTGAACTTCTAAAACATAAAGAGAGAAAATTGGTGATCTATCTGCCTCCAGTTCAAGCTTGAACTTTTCTCCCCTTCACTTACCTTTTTTATGGACTAGTACTTATGGGAGTATAATAAAACCAGAGGTGACAATTGCTATAATGAGTCTTCATAATAGACTCAAACCTACCATCCACTAAGTCACTCAACCCTACTACATTTCTCAAAGTACTAATGGACTAGGTCACCATTGTCTTTATGAGCAGATAAGGTACATTCTCTCCCAACAAAAACTGCAAGACAAGAATACTTCTTGCCTTTGAGCACTCAAAATAAGCAGAAATCTTAAGAACCTTGTACAGTTTTTCAGGTACAATCTTGGAAGAAAAATGGACATGAAGAAATAGGAAGTGAGGTTTCTTCTGTTGTACGGAAGGAAACTAAAGAACAAGGAAGAATCAAAATTTAAAGACCAAAGATTATCTGGTATGACTTAGCCAACAATCAGATTACTTGTCAATGTGGGTATTCTATTGTCCTACCAATGCGCTAGTTAGGAACAATTTGTAAAGAACTCATATGCTTTAAAACAAGAAGTAGAGACTTTCAAAGATCATATAATAATAATAGCCACTCACGTAACACTGGCCAGATCCATAGGGCAGACAAAGGAGAAGATAGGATTGGAGGGTGTACAATTCAAGTGCCTACAAGTCTTGCTTAGCTTTCCCTTTAGTGTTCAATTACAGACCTCATGTTGTCTTTGTATGATATGACCTTTCAGGAAACATACTATATGAAAAGTGAAGTTATCTAAGAGATTGTCTCAGTCTTCTTTTTTCTGAATCAAAGTATTTTGCAAATTTCAAACTCATGAGATTCTAGTTTTAAACTTCCTAGGGCTTATGAATTCTACAAATTTACCCATAAGAGTCAAATAAACTCAATGAGTCACACAAAAAATTAAGGTGTCGAGTATGAATTCAGTTTTAAAGTTTTTGTGTTTTGTTTTGTTTTTTTAACTGGGGCTTGAACTCAGGACCTTGCACTTGCAAGGCAGGCGGCAGAACTGAGCTAGATCCTGGGCCCAAAGTTAATTATTTTATAAGCTCAGCATCAGGATGGAAGAAGGTGAAATGCACAAATAAATACTATTTCTACTGATGTCTTACCTAGAAAGAGGAATCAATGAATCTATCCATATCACTTTTCATCTGAAATAGCATCCTTAAATACACCATCTTATCTAGTAATTCTGGGGAATGGGGTTAGAGTACGGCAACCCTTGACATGACTTTAATCAGAGTTATCCTATGATTCAGGGGTCCTCAGGCCTTGAGAGAGATGGACCCTCTAAAATCTTTAAAATTTTGAAAAGTCAATGGAACAGTGACCCACATAAGACCCATTTTCTTAGCCTTTTATTTCCACATCATTTATTGTTTTCTTCCAAATTGTTATAACTGCTTCAGAAACTCTAAGTCCAAAGAAATAAATGCTGGTAGGTAAGTAATTGCTAAGAAGCCCAACATGAAATATCTACTTACCACGCACTCTAAGTCAGAGATCTTTTAAAAGTTTGATGAAAAAAGAAAAGAAAAATTAAAATTGATATTAGAAAATTGATAGCATCCCCAAAAGACAGAAGGATAAAACTTGACCTCATAACTCTGATCAATTAAAATTACTTAGTAGAAGGTCTGCCTTCTTTCTCTCAGCTTATTATTGAAGATATCTGGCATGGTACATTGGAAGCAGAAACAAAGATGCAACTATAGAAAATGATGAAAAGCTATACAGAAGGGACATTAGTTGGAGTGCAGCTAGGGTGCACAAGCCAATGCAAACTCAAGGGAGAAGTCTGAGCCACAGAAACAGCGATCTTCTGTATTTATTTTATGACAGTCACATAAAGGGCCATGCAAAGGAGTGTAGAGAAAGGGGAAAAAGAGAGACATTATAGTTTTCTGCATAGCCATGTGACACTTAACCACAGGGATGCATTCTGACATGCGCTGTTAGGTGAGTTCTTTGTTTCAAAAATATGACAGAGTACACTTATGCAACCTGAAATGGCTATGATGTCACTAGGCAATAGAACCTGAAGGGATCACTACTGTGTATGTGGCGCATTATTGGCCAAAATGCCATCCTGTCGTGTGTCTACTTCCTTCATTAAAAGTCTTGTTCTGCAGAGATGGCTTATACAGCTCCTGTGACCAAAAGTGGACTTAAAGGGAGACAGATTTTGGAGCTCTCCAAATAAAATGAGCTAATTCTGCTAATTTTGTGGAGTAACTATTCAATATCTCTCCAAACTCCTTTCAACTTTCCTTGCTGAATCACCTATCAGTACAGTCTGAGTATTACAGAAATGTTTTCCTACAGTTTCATGCAGTAAAGCTTGGGCACATGACCCAATTCTGACCAATGGCAGGTAAGGGAGGGTCCACCAAGGACTTTCTGGGACAAGAGCTCCTCCCCGCTTTGCAAGAACAACTACTACTCTATCTGCCTTTGAACACAGCCGTGTGGAGTCACGATTCTCAGGCCACCACAACAATCTAGGAACTTTAGAGGGAAAGCTAAATAACTTACAAAAATTGAGCTGCTGAAGTAGCCAAGCCTAGAACAATCTTCCTAAGGACTTCATGCATACCCTTTCTGCTCAAGCCATTTCTTGTCAGACAAACTTTTCCATACAACTGAAAACATCTTAATTAATAAGGCTACCTCTAGTAACAGTGATCAAGTACTCAGTTCAAATAAGGACTATGCCTTCCACCTGGCCTATATTTTATCAAAAGCATTAAAAGTATCATGTTAGAGATAACCTTAAAAGACCTTTTCAAACCAATGGTCTTATCATTTTACATATGAGGGACATGGAAATATGTGCACTTAAATCGAAACAAAATAAACATTCACATACATTATTCTGTAGAAGACCTTGTACATCATTATAAAAACTTACACCCTTTTTAAAAAAACGTTAATGCACAATGGGGATTTAGCTCAGTGGTTCTGGTGACTGCCTCACCATTGTAAGGACTTGAGTTCGATCCCCAGTACCAAAAAAAAACAGTTAATGCATTATTCTAGATCCAAAAGGTTTTTATATAGGTGAGGAAACATATTCATATAGCTGAATACTATGTAGATTTTAAAAAATAAAATAAATTAATGTGATAACATAAAAGATTTCTAAGATGTATTAAGTTAAAAAAGTAGAAGACAAAAAGAGTATTAATGAGCCATTTTTATAAAAATATTCATATACTGAAATATTTTTAACACTTCCAAAGAATACTGGAGAAAAAGACCAGCAGTGAGCCTTGAGTAAAGCCTGAGAAAGAAGACAAGGATTTCCTTTTTCTTTAATATCAGTTTTATAAAAGGCATGAGTATTATATAAATAATTTTTAAAACATATTTTTAAAAGCTGTTTTCATCCCAGCACTTGGGAGACTGAGGCAGGAGGATAGCTGTGAGTTCAAGACCAGCCTGGGCTACATAGTGAGTTCCAGGTCAGTCTCAACTACATAGAGAGACCCTGTCTGGAAAAAACCAAAAAAATAAAATAAAATAAAAGCTGTTTTCAGTCTGGCATATGAACAACAAACTACTAAAATAATGCTAGAAGTAAGTTGTCCTCTGAAAATTTATTTACCTTTTATAATACTGTAACATTCAAACTTCCCTTGCTTGACATTTTTTTTTCCTTCATTCTCTGTTGATCCTTTTCTCTAAAAAATCCCCTCTGGTCTTTGGCAAGTTGTAGCTTATCTATTTTTAAAGCATCTGCTTCTGTGTTCTTGCCTTAATAGGGTGGGGGTGGGGTCACAGAATCAGCTTATGGTTATTGTCTACCCAGTTCATAAAGATGGCCTTTCTCTTGTTATGTACTAGGCATGGGTTTCTTATTTTACTTGCAAGCTCCAGTTTACTGACATAGTGATGAAATGCTACCTAATGACTTAAAACAACAAATTCTGGACTTTTTAAAAGCATAAGATATATTGCCATGCAAACAAATGGCTTATAATACACACACTAACAGTAACACCTTCAATTGCCTTGCCTCACAAGCACAAGGTCCTGAGTTTAATCCCCGGTATCGGAAAAAAAGAAAAAAGAAATAAAACTTTCCCTACAGCACTTCAGCATTAAACCTCCTTTATGAAGCATCATTTATAACAACAACTGAACACTTCTTCCAACATTAAAACAGAAATAATATTCTTCCCAGAACTCTACTGTCTCTCCAGAACTAACATCTTTCTTACTTCCTATGTTATTTCAGTCCTTGGAAGAGCAATCCACATTCATTGATCCTCATTTCTTACCACTACACCTCCTTTAAGTTTCTGAAATAAAGCTTTCACTATAGTAAACTGCTCCCAAAAAGTTACAAGAGACATCCCCGTAGGCACATGGAGTAATGTTTATCAATCCATCTTATATGAAATTTCGTCCTGTAGCTCTGCTTGCCATGTGTCAGGCCCTGCCCGCTGCCTTCTCTTCTCATAACTCTCCTTTCTCTTTTACCATGAGTGCTGCTTCCTTGCTCTCATCCATGGATGGTATCTAAGACTTAATCCCGAAGTCCTCAATATATCTTATTACAGGACTTAAGTCATAACTTAGCCTTGCTCTCAGATTAATTTGGATTATTCCAAATGTGTTCTCCCTCTAGTGATCACAAGATGGAAAATTAAGCGTATGTTCTAGTTTTCATTGCTAATTCAACAAATGACTGATTTTAAGTAATTGTTAGAGACCTGGGTATATGGAATTGAAAAATAGAGATTTCCTTCCTCAGAAACCTCATAGTATGAAAAGGGAAAGGGATATTTAAAACAAATCCAGTGTCCAAAATGCACACACACACACACACACACACACCAGAAACCAAGCAATGCAAATAAAAGTGCATCCCACAAGAAAACAGAAAGAAATTGTTAATAAACATCTATGAGCAGCTCTTGGAGCAGAGTTAAGGAACATTTAATAGTTATTTACATAAA